AAAGCAGCAACAGACGGACACTTGCGGACTGTATACCAGACAACAAGAACTCTTTCTGGTAGGTTCAGCAAGCCCACTCTACCAGTGAAAGACAAAGAGGGAAAGACTATCTTCAACCCAGAGGGGCGACTTAACCGATGGAGAGAACACTTTGATCAACTCTTGAACAGACCACCTCCAGAAATACAACCAGAAATTCTTCCAGCCAGAAATAACCCCCCTGTAGTTACGGAACCACCTTCCAGAGAGGAAATTGCAGCATCTATAACATCATTGAAGTCCCACAGGGCAGCTGGTCCTGACCATATACCACCGGAAGCCCGTAAGGCAGATAAAGATACACCAGTGGAAATTCTCTATACTATACTCTATTTGAAAAGGTTTGGCAAGAGGAAGAAATACCATCAGACTGAAAGGAAGGCCACCTAATCAAGCTGCCAAAGAACGGAGATTTCAGCAATTGTAACAACTACAGAAGCATAACACTCCTGTCCATATCTGGGAAAGTCTTTATCGGGATACTCGTGGAGAGAATAAAGTTGGCAACAGACGGGATGCTCCGAAGAAACAAGGCAGGATTCCGCAAAAAACGATCATGTGTGGACCAGATGGCTACTCTGTGCATCAATGTTGAGCAATCGCTTGAATGGAATTCACCACTCATGGTCAACTTCATTGATTATGAAAAGGCGTTTGACACCGTGGACAGGGAAACTCTGTGGAAACTCATGCAACATTATGGAATACCTGACAAAATCGTCAAGCTTGTAAAGACCACCTATGATGGAACACACTGACAAGTCTTCCACGAAGGACACCTCCCTCTCAGAACCATTCCAGGTATAGACATGAGTTCGGCAAGGATGCTTGCTCTCACCTTTTCTCCTCATACTGGAAATTGACTGGGCCATGAAAGAAGCCACCAGAGGCAAGCGTAATGGAATATTGTAAAGTGGATCCCTTGGCAGCAGCTGGACGACTTGGACTTCGCCGATGACCTTGCACCGCTCTCTCACTCACATGCTCAGATGCAAGAAAAGACCAAGGAAGTAAGCAGCCTATCAAGGAGTGTTGGCCTACGTATACATCCAGGTAAGTCGAAAGTAGTGAAGCTAGGAAAAGTTTCAAGCCCTGCTGTGACAGTGGAAGACACTCCCCTGGAAGAAGTGGACTCCTTTACCTACCTTGGAAGTGACATCGATGGTAAAGGGGAAACCGAGGCAGATGTTCAAGCAAGAACCGCCAAGGCAAGGTCATTGTTTGTTTGTTTTTGTAAAGTGTTTTACGGCGCTCGCAACTGCATAGGTCATATGAGCGCGCGGGACACACCTAATATTTTCAGTTGGTAGGAAATTTGGAATTTTGCCCGGGTGGCGGCCGAAGCCTACTCTTATCGATTTTAGACCACCAAGGATCTTTAACGTGCGCAACTTGCACACGGG